TTTTATGTCAGCTTTCAGTTTTGAAGGTGAAGTTTGAACTGCAGTTCCTGTTTAAATTTCTGTTTCAGTTTGAATTTGGAAGAGCTTTCATTTACTCACCTTTATGTCATCATAAATCTGTATTCTCTCTCGTTTTTTCTCATTGAACGCAGAAGGGGAAGTTTAGTAGAATATTCACGATGATCTTTCTATACGATGAAAGCATACAGTGATCACAGCATAACTGTAGTCCTTTATGCACAGCGGTCCAAACACCTGAAACCTTCCTCTCTAGCTTTCTCAAATATTATTTGTATATATTTGCTGGACAAAGGGTAGGATTTTTTGTAAATAATGGCTTAAATTGTTCTGAAATCTAAAAACACATTTATCAAAACAGTAACCACAAACTCTTTTGTACAAATCACACAACAAATATTAAAAATATACTATCTTTATGTTGTTTCTACATTAATTTGCTGATTGAATGTGAAATTATTGGAATATAAAAGTATATTTAAAAACTTTAATGTTTGGTGGGATTAATCACAATTAATTTCAGAAAAAATGTTCGCGATTAATTAGTTTTTTCAATCGATTGACAGCAATAGTATAGGCCTATATGTGTGTGTGTGTGTATATATATATATATATATATGTATGTATATATGTGTATGTATACACACACAAAAAATAATTCATATATACAGACACACATATATGTATATATAGATATTTTAATAAACAATGTTTTTCTAGTGTATGAAAATTGTATAAAATTTCGAAATAAACCTTCATCGATCAGTACTTTTTTACTTTTACTTTTGATGTACTTTACTTAAGTACATGAAAAATCAAATACTTTTGTATTTTTACTCGAGTAAAATTTGAAAAGGAGTACTTAACATTTTTCCTGAAGTAATATTTTATTAGGGTATCTGTACTTTTACTCAAGTACTTGATTTGTGTACTTTGGCGACAGAAATGAAGAGAGAAAAAAATTAATAAACTTAATGTACTTTATTTATAACCTAGAGGATGCATGTTAGTATCATCAAGTGTATTTTCTGAAAGGATCCCACCCCAATGAGAGCTTTCTGAGTGTAGAATGTGTTGATTTCTGCTCAAATAACAACACATAACATGTCTGACACAGAAGCACACAGAAGTTTTGATCTTAAGCAGTGGTTTGGATGGAGTTGGTTTATGTTGAATGAGGTCATTTTAAACTGGTCCACAGACATCATAGCTCAAGGTCAACACTCATCTTGTTTCATCTTCCGCCACTGTGCATTAAAACAATATAAAACGCTTCACGACACGCATCTCTCTCGCGCAAGCTGTAAACCAGCCAAACAACCCCTGACACATTTTCAATATTATTACATTAAACCGAGTTTGATTGATAATGTAATATTGGGCTAAGGCAAAACATCAATCATGGCAAGTATATTAATTATTTAATATTGCAGTGTAATGCAGGAATTGATGCGAGTGTGTTCAGGTAGGAACGAGAGGGATGAAAATCTGTGCTCCCCGCAGACCTGCAGGAAATGGACAGATAAAAAATTTAAAGATGTAGCTTAAAAAAAATGAAAAGTTGAAGATGTACCAGTTCAATAAAAATTTATATTCATTTGCCGATAATGTCTTCCTGTGTCTGCACTCAGCAGTGCTGGGATTTGGTTTGAAGGCTCTAATTGAATTAGGACGCTTTTTTTTCTGCACAGACGTGTGCCAAAGAGAGACAGATACAATTAGAAGAATACAGTAATTTAGCCATAGACAGGGGAAGCCGCTAAATGACCAAAAAAAAAAAAAAAGAAGAAGAAGAGAGAGATGGAGGGAGGGTGCAAATATGATAAGCGCTTGTGAAATTGAATAAGTGATTATAAAAAGAAAACAGAATTAGTGTGATGAGGGGAAAGGAAAGAGAAGAGAGATTGTCTCTTTCGTGAGGAATGGTTTACCTCTAATTGTTCTTCATTAAAGGATTACAGCTCTCTGTCACCACCGTAACTTATTTTTAGCGAGTGCTCTAACACAGTTCTGCTGCATTAGTGTGTTACATTAGAATATCTGTTAGCTTGCGCTGGTCTTGCTGTGTTAAGATGGGAATGGTCACCCAGAAAAGCCATCATCAGGTAGTGAAAGAATTTTAGTAGTGAAAGGTTGCTGGAGAAAGAGAGATGGATGGATGGATGGATGGGTTTGTGGAGGGGGAGAGGGGTGGAGTGGGTTTCACATGGGCTTTTCTGTCCGTGATTACTGGAGTCATTTCTGAGCTGTCAAGGGCTAGTTAACATCATGTTTCCTAACCATGCTTCTTTGTCAAACACACACACATGCAAACACACACACACACACAAACAAACACACACGCACACACACACACACACACAGTGTTTGCCACATTATCATCTTTGTATCTTTTTTGTCATTACCTTGTTATATTCAGGAAGTTCCATGGTACCTGTTCTGTTTACTTTAGTTTAGAGGCCTTTAGTCTGTTTCTGTCCTTTCACACTGTAAAAAATGACCGTGAATTTAATGGTAAAAGACTGTAAAAATGCTACAGTAAAAACCTGTTAAATGGTTAACGGTAAATTCCCCTACTATATACGGTCACAAACTGTATTGGACATTACATGTAATTTTACGGTAGTATACCGTTTTTGGAAGTGGAAAAAGAACGTATAATTTACAGTGAATAACCGTAAATTGACATTCCCAGAATTCCCTGCGTTACATTTAAAATGTAATGTTTTTTGTTGTTGAAATAACTGTTTCTTCTTAGTTTTTTCTTATCAGTTTTGTATATTAGGGTTGTGTGTTACACCTAATGTTGTTAAATGAATGTTTATTGCATTATTTCAGTTTCATGTGCGTTACCATGATGGTGTTT